AAACTGCAAATACTGGTCTGTGTGGGTGAGTTTGCAGTACACCTCAGTTTGCAAATGTCCTCTATCAGAGACTGAGACCTCTCAGTCCAAGAAAGCCAACCTGCCATTTTTTACATCTTCTTGTGTGAACTTGATGTATTTATCCACAGAGTTGATGTGGTCAGTAAAATGTTGGACTTCCTGAGATTTAATTTTAACCCAGGTGTCGTCAACATACCTGAACCAATGACTTGGTGGTGTCCCTGAAAAGGACGTCAAGGCTCTCTTTTCTACCTCCTCCATGTACAGGTTGGCAACAATAGGAGAAACTGGAGACCCCATAGCACACCCATGTTTCTGCCTATAATATTGCTCCCCATATGTGAAGTAGGTTGACTGCAGGCACAGTTTCAAGAGTTGACACAGTTGTTCTGTGGAAAGCGTGGTCCTGCTGCTCAGAGTGGTGTCTGATTTTAATCTTAAACTGACCACCTCTACTGCATCATCAACAGGAATGCACGTAAAGAGTGATGTGACATCAAAAGAGACCATTGTTTCATCAGTCTCCATGATGACATCCCTCACCTTATCCACAAAGTCCATGGTGTTCTGTATGTGGTGTTCTGAGCTGCCAACTAAAGAGATGAGTACAGACGCCAGATATTTGGAAACATTGTAAGTGACAGAGTTAATCATGCTAACAATAGGTCTTAAAGGTACACCTTGTTTGTGGATTTTAGGTAAACCATACAGACTAGGTGTGGCCTCCCCTGGGTACAGTCTGTGGTACAGAATACGGTCAATAGCCTTGTTCTGCTCCAAATTTTTCAGGCAATCTATTAACTTCTTCTTGTAACCACTTCCTGGATCTCTTTTTCAGAGGTTCATAAGTGGTTAAGTCACTAAGGATTGTCATAACATTCTCATGATAGTCTTTCTGGTTCAAAATCACTGCACCTTCCTTTGTCTGCTGGGAGAATGATGTTTTTGTCCTTGCTAAGAGTGGTGAGTGCATCCCTCTCCTCTCTACTGATGTTGGAAGGTGGTGGTTTGGCATTGCTGAGGCAGGATGAAACGTTGATTCTCTCATCACTCTTAGCAAGGACAAAAACATCATCATTCTCCCAGCAAACAAAGGAAGGTGCACAGTCATTGGTTGAGGTATGTTGACTACACCTGGGTTAAAATTAAATCTCAGGAAGTCCAACATTTTACTGATCACATCAACTCTGGATAAATACATCAAGTTCACACAAGAAGATGTAAAAAATGGCAGGTTGGCTTTCTTGGACTGTGAGGTCTCAGTCTCTGATAGAGGACATTTGCGAACCGAGGTGTACCGCAAACCCACCCACACAGACCAATATTTGCAGTTTGACTCCCATCACCCTTTGGAGCACAAGTTAGGAGTCATCAGGACTCTGTACCACAGAGCAGACAGCGTCCCCACTAACTCAGGAGCCAGGCAGAAGGAGAAATCCCACACAAGACAGGCTCTAGAGCAATGTGGATATCCTAACTGGGCCTTCCTGAAAGCAGAGAAGAAACCCAAACAGGATTCCAGTCAGCCATCAGGTGAAAAGGAAGAACCCAGAACAGTGGTCATTCCGTATGTTGAGGGAGTATCAGAGAAACTGAGATGTTTATTTTCTAAACATAACGTCCCAGTGGCTTTTAAACCCCAAAATACATTACGGCAAAGACCGGTTCATCCCAAAGATCCAGTCCCCCGGCACAAACGGAGTAATATTGTGTATGCTGTTCAGTGTCAGGAGGGCTGTGATCAGTCTTACATCGGGGAAACTAAACAGCCACTGGCCAAAAAGATGGCCCAGCACAGAAGATCAACATCATCAGGCCAGGATTCTGCGGTCTACACTAATCTCCAGGCCAGCGGTCACTCTTTCAGGGATGAAGATGTTCACATCCTGGACAGAGAGGAACAATGGTTTGAGAGAGGAGTAAAGGAGGCCATCTTTGTGAAAATAAATTATCCATCATTAAACAGGGGTGGAGGCCTCCGGGTTCAACTGTCCCCCTCTTAGGCCCTATTTTTATGAACATGATGGGGGGAAACGTAGGTTTATTCGTATGTTAATTAGAAGAAAAGATCCGCGTTGACACGGTCGTATTTTGGGTTTACATGCATCCGCAAGATCCCCCCCCCCCCCGCCCTCCCGAATCTGCTGTAGTTACCATGCCGGGTCATTAGATGGCACTGTGAATTTTGTACCTTCACGTAATGCGCATGTGTGCTGCCTCGGCACGCTGTGTCCTGTGAGCTAAAAAGCTCTGCTAACAACATCTTAACAACAAGTTAAAGCTAGATTCTGGCTGGATTTTAAACAAAAGAGTCGACAGATTTGACGCCAAGTGGGACCGCTTCGTCTAACAGCTCCACATCGGTCGCTCAGTGGACCAGAACAGAGTCGATATGCTTGGACTTTACTCCATGATAATCAGTAGCTGGTTTACAGCAGGTAAATCAAATGTTCTTAATAATGTTAGCTTGTGTTTACTTCTGTTACAAAACAACCAACTGAGCTTTTATTTTTTCCTGAAAGAAGAAGGAGCTGTCTCCCACCTGGCGGATTGGTTCTGAACGAGGCTCGGCAGCAGGACGTCCAAGAGAGAGATGATGGATGAACTATTTATTTAAAATTCCCCTCAGTTCTTTTATTCAATCCATTCAATGTTCAGTTTAATTATCAGTTTGTGGTGTTGAAGAAATAAATAAAATAAAAATTAAACCTGATGTCTTGATTTTCAACTTTAATAGCATGCAATATGTTTAGCATAATTTTAATCACATAAATTGAATTACGTAATGTCTAGATAGCTTTATTTAGCTCAGAGAGCTTCATTATACAGGTCCTTCTAAAAATATTAGCATATTGTGATAAAGGTCATTATTTTCCATAATGTAATGATAAAAATTAAACTTTCATATATTTCAGATTCATTGCACACCAACTGAAATATTTCAGGTCTTTAATTGTTTTAATACTGATGATTATGGCATACAGCTCATGAAAACCCAAAATGCCTGTCCCAAAAAAGTAGCATATTTCATCCCACCAATAAAAGACAAGTGTTTTTAATAAAAAAAACGCCAACCTTCAAATAATCATGTTCAGTTATGCACTCAATA